GTGTGTGTGTGTGTGTGTGTGTGTGTGTGTGTGTGTGTGTGTGTGTGCGTGCGTGCGTGCGTGCGGTACACTGGATGCTACACCTAATGACGGGTGACAAGCTTGCAGTGGGAACCTAGCCTGAAAACTCCCATTATCTCATTATTCACCCATCAACCAAATCTGCCCTCCACTGTCTCAGAAATGACTTCTTCATTTCTCAATCATCGCTCACTCTCTTTCCTCACTCCCTTGCACTCTCACATTAGTCCCTACTTTTATTTCACCTATCACTGATTTCTTTACCACTCCTCTCAGTGTCATCAATGCAGTTTTAAAGTCCTTTAAAGTCCATTCATCATCTTCCTCCCAAGAACATTTAAATGATTAGCCTCAAGGTGATGAACTCCACCCATCTGGTACTCAGTCGATTAAACCAGGGCTCATCTGATAATAATATCTGACCCAGCTGTGGTGTGCGTCCTGTGTTCAGATGTGAACGAATGTGGAAAGGGCAACGGTGGCTGTGCAGAGGTGTGTGTGAACACCAAAGGCTCCAGGCGCTGTGAGTGTGGGTTGGGTCGTGTGCTGGACGACGATGGACGCAACTGCAGAGGTACATCCATGCTGTGATGTTCATATGACACACCAGTCAACGTTGTACAGAGATAGGTAACCCTCTTCATCTTTTTATTTTCTCTGTGTGACCTCATGCAGAGATAGCAGGCTGTCATATTAACAATGGAGGCTGTAGCCATGGCTGCTCCTCGCTGCTGGACTCCTATCAGTGCCACTGTCCCAGAGGGCTGGAGCTGGGACAGGATAAACGCACATGCCAGGGTGTGTATGTGTGTGTGTGTGTGTGTGTGTGTGTGTGTGTGTGTATGTGTGATTGAGAAAGGCAGATATTGGAGTCAGATAATCAATGAGACTGCAAGGCAAGCCGACACAGAAATGCATGATTGCATTCATTTGAAAGACTTTGAAAGATTTTATCTGGCCATGACGGAATTCCCAACCTTTCAGTGCGGGATTATTTATATGTCGGGGAGGATCCTAACTATTTCAGCAGTGGATAATAATCTAACGACCTTTTGTTTGAGAAATGAGACAATGGGGGCAAACAGATATGTTGCTTGCAGACCATTTCCTCAATGTCATTTTTGATAGCAAAGGACAGCTGAAGTTTGTTTTCAGTAGATCTTTTTTTTTTTGATTAACTGATAACAGGTTATTAAAAAAATGTTGAAATTGTGAAAAATCACAGTGTGAGTCCAAGGTGACATCGTCAAATCACATGTTACATCCAGTCAAATCAAAAACTCTGAGATTATTCAAGTTTAGGGCTGCAACCATTGATTATTATCATTATTAATTCATGTTTTTTACTACCTCAATGATCCAGCTTTCACTACGTACTTAGCCAACAAAGAGTGTGCTACGTTTTCATCTCCGTCGTTGTATCCATGCACTGTGTTACGATTTGTGCCATTTTATGGGACCGTAATAATATGTCATGTCTTTGTCTCCGTCTCCTGCAGTGCCCGTCCAGTGTGATTCCAGCTCTATTATTGTGTCGGTTCCTAAGGACCTTGTAGGAGGACTGGAGCTCTCTCTGTCCAACTCGTCTTGTCGGGGTGTCTCCAATGGCACACACATCAACCTCAGCTTCAGCCTCAAGACCTGCGGCACAGTGGTGGAGGTCAGAAGCATTGAGTGGAAACTTTTTAGACTGAATATTCTCAGGGTTTAGTCTCTACAGTTTGGGCTAGAAGACATTTTTTGATTATCTTATATCTTTATTAAAGACCTGTGCCTTAATCGTGGGTTGTGTGAGGTTGCCGTAAACTGAATGTTGTCCCCCAGGTGACAGATGACAAGATTGTGGGGACCAACCTGGTGACAGGCCTCCCTCGGAGCAGCCCAGACAGCAGCAGCGACTTGATAGTCCGCACCAGCAAGTTAGTGCTGCCGGTCACCTGTGAGTTCCCCAGGGAATACCAAGTGTCGGACGGATACCAGGCAAGTCAGCGCAGCTCAGCCCTTGAGCTGGCAGGCCACAGTGTGGGAGCCTTCCACTTCTCCCTGGAGCTCTTCAAGAGCGCCGAGTTCTCGGAGCCCTACCGCACCCCGCCCCAGCTCCGCCTGCATGACTCCCTGTTCTTCGGGGTGGAGCCAAAGGAGAGGGTGGAGGGCCTCTCTGCACTGGTAGAGAGCTGCTTCGCCACACCAGGGCCCAAAGCTGACGAGGCCCTCAAGTATTATCTCATCAAAGACGGGTGAATAGTGTGGAAGTTTAAATGCCACATCTTGTGCTGCGTGACATAGCAGACCTATTGCAAATGCCTTAAACCAGAAGACAGCACTGCTGGAAAGAATTATACATCACTACATTACATTAAAATGACAGAATCCGAATCAACAGAGCAGGGCTCTAATCTACTTTCATGAATCCTTTTAAAAATACAACAGTGTTTCAGGGCCTTAGGGCTGCTAACCTTGATGAAGTGGCTTGTTAGAGAAACATGGATCACTTAAGATTGTGTTAAGATATCAACCGCATGTGTGACTCCATTTTCCTCTTTGACTTATTTTCCAGGTGTATCTCTGATGAAACAGTGACACAGTACTCATCAAAGGACCAGCTCTCTAAGCACTACCAGGTCCCTGTCTTCAAGTTCATTGGCAAGGACAACCGAGTGAGTCAAAAAAGCATGCTGGGAGACAGCTGGCAAGAGTGTGTGGGCTTGTGTCTGTGTAGCACTATACTGTAAGGACTGTATGCCTACACTGTCTGAAGTAGCAGTGTCCTTGCATTGTGTTCTTCTCTATCTACTCAAAACAAGCTTGTCTCCTCCGTTTACAGCAAGTGTTCCTCCACTGCCAGGTGTTAGTGTGCGGGGCAGGAGACTCCCACTGCGCTAAGCGTTGCCGAGGCCGTGTCCGCCGAGAGCTTCGGACCGGTGAACGTCGGGAGCAGCACACACTGAGCGGAGGCCCCATCTTCATCTTGCCTGAGCCGGAACGTTAACTTAAGCATCATGAGAACAGGGCAACAGCAGCAGCTAAATTACAATTGCAGAGTATCATTTAGATTAAAGGAGATGAACCGACCATTTCAGTTTATTTGGTATTTGAACGTCCTTCATATACACATATACATGCAGATGTACAGTATATACACTCTTCTTTACTTCTATGTAAGTTCCAGTGTCAGTCACAGTGATGTAAATCAGTTGAGTTCTGCTTAATACATCAATGTGTGTGTGTCTTTGCCTGGCAGCCAAATTTGCTGACATTAAAGCAAATGACATTTCTATTAGAAATCATTCGGAGGGGCCACAGTTCATTTGTAACAACTTCGGCGTGAAGGATGTTTTTTTCTAGGTCACACTTTCAGGCATTTCTCAGGCTTGATTACAGCTTAAAGACTTAGTGGATTTATAGAAGTGGTTTATATTTCACACCATCACTGACTTGAAAAATACATGTGGAACACCCATAGACGTATTCCGACTAATTTACTCAGTTTAATCGATGGCTGGGGGGGGGGGAATCACGTCACACATCCCAATATGGTGGAAAAGAGATAGCGGTGGGGCGTGCCTGGAAATGATGCCAAAGATTCATCATTGACAATTAATCTAGAATTAATCATGTCAGTTAAACTGCAATTAGTCATGTATTCATTCATAAAACAAATCAAATTACTGCCAAATAACTGACTTCAAACATTGACGTAGCTGTAATAGGCATCACATTTACATGACACTGACTTTGAGCATACTATCTTGATAAATAGCTGCACACAACAAACCATGTGTACCATAGTAATTCAATTATGTCATTCTATCTAGAGGAAATTAATCCAACGACAACATCCTTCCCATCAGGCACTGCATTTGGAGTCATCAAAGTAATTTATGGTAATGGAGTTATAGAGGCCTAAAAATGGCCTAAAATGGAGTATGAAGAGTACAACATGCATTAGCAGTTAATTAACATTTTAACATTTTGAAAGTCATATTCAGATACTTAATATATATCAGTACTGCCTCTGAATAAAACCTGAGAAACTGTTCATTTGCATTCTCCATTTATATCTTCTGTTTTTTTTTTTTTTTAACTCCCAGGCTGGGAATCTTGAGTGGGCTCTCGTTAAGTACATCCTCTTTGACGAAAGCCTATAAATAGACACCATAATCTGTAGAAATGCCCGAGACTCAGTTATTTGTCTGCGAAAACATCCAGGGAATTTGTCCAGAGTGTTCTGTGTCACAGTTCATCCCTCTCCTCTCCCTCGCAGACACACGCTGCCCTCTGGCTGTTCATGTAAGGCCTGCAGCCAAGAGTCCCCACTGTGCTGTGGAGAGCGTCTGCCATTGACTCACAGGCTAAGAAGAAAAGACGGAGAAATAAGAGAGAGGAATGAGGCAGAGTTTATTATTATTTTTTGATAACTCACAATGTATGTGAGATGCTCCTGGTTCCACCCTATATATCGATAGATATCTGTAAATATCTCACCTTGCACCTTCGACACAAAGCCCAGACTCTTCTTAATGTCGGAGCAGATGCGACGCAGACACAAGCGGAACTCTGAGTCACAGTCGTTCTTGCTTGTGCCACAAGTGTCATAGCACACGTCAAGCTGGTTACAGCACGTTGTCATAGCAGGGATCCCCAGGTCAAGCTGTTAAAAGAAAGACCTGTATTGTGTCAGTGCAGTTTACTAATACAGAACCTATAGCATATCCAGACATTATGGTTATGTTCAGCTCCATTATATGGGCTTAATGATGTGGTTCTGGACTGTTGGTGTTATGGACAAGCCACCTACAACTGCATTCACCTGGAATCCCACCAGAGAGGAGCTGCAGCCGTTGGGTTCTGGGAGCTGGTAGCCGGGACGAGGTTGAGCAAGTTCTCCTAAGAAAACAGAGAAGTAGCAGTTCCATTTGATTTTAAAACTGAAGTGAAAGCCCATCAACAAACTAACGTCATCATGTACTCCTAGTCATATCTCTGTTCTTGGGTGTGTGTCATTTCACAGATAACATGTAACTTCAGTTTGAGTACATCTGTGTTGGCTGTGTAACTGCATGTACATCTACCTCTCAGACTGATAACCAGAATGTATTCAGGTTTCGTTATCAGCAACCTACCGTGATGTAAATAAGAAGCTGATAAACTGACAGCAGAGGGATTGATTTGACACGTAAAAAGAAAACGGATACATAATAACAGAAGGAATATGGGATGTGGACAACATAATAATCAATATCTTTTGGGGTCTTGTGATTAACAAGAACCCAACTAATCTTGCTATTTCTGAGTCCCACTTCCAGGACACTAAAGACTTGTGATTCTCAGTAAAATAACAGTATATTAATTCAAAAGATTCGTTCTTACCATATCTGCAGCGGTACTGACACACACCATCCTGTCCCCCTGCCAGCTCCACCAAGGACCCAAAGTATCCGTGCATACTCTGGAAACTATTTCTAATTGAGTTGAAGCTCCAGCTGCTATCTTCTTCCTGTGCCAAGGGTTTGTTTAGGAACTGGTCTGTCTGGACTGGTCTGATGTCATTGTCCTCCTCCGCCTCAGTAGATGAAGGTTGCTCCTGGGTGACAGCTTCACCAGTAAGAGCTTCCATGGCAGGGGGATCTCCAGCGGGCCTTTCACTGTCTGGCTCTGGCTCTTTGGCTGTTGCACCATCTGCTACTGGGACATCCACTTTTGGTTTGTCATCTGAGGGGTTATCCTCTGCCAGTATTTCAGCCAACAGATTGTCCCCAAAAATGGAAGGGGCTGCAGGTTCCTCAACTGCCGGTGAATTGCTTAGTTGGGTATCTGCTGGAGCTGCAGCTTCTTCAGCTGCTACAACACCAACAGTAACAGCAGCTGAGTCCACAAGAGGTGCCTCGTCCTCCTCTGGCTTAGTCTGGTAGTGGCCTAAAGTGGCACACATGCCCGTGGACACACAGACGAAGAGCAGAACTACAGTCCGAAGCAGCATGATGACAATCCAAGCAGGAGCCCACAAGGCAAGGTGTTGTTAACAGGGGGAGAAGAGCTTAGACAGTGACAAAAACACACTGCTCCTACTGGCCCTGTGCAAGCCAGTGAGCAGACTTTGACCTATGATTAGGTTCTAGCAGACAGCAAAGCATGTTCTCATGTTCGGGGCAAAGGTCCCCTCATATCAATCCAATGAAAGCTTCTATAATTCCTCTAATTCTCTTATTCTCTGTGATTCTTGAACATTAAATGAGTAATTTCATCACTGTTTCATCCACAAAGCTTTAATTGTTGTTTTATTACTCAGAAGTCACATGGAACATGAGCCTTCAGCCCTAATCTTACGTACTTTTTCACCTAGATTTAGTTCAAGTTTGCACTAATAGTGCCCTGATATCTGCCCTATAGGTTACAATCACTTTTGCCATTTATTTTAGCCAGGAAGTTATTGGAAGGTGATTGCTTCTGATTGCCATGGTTATTGAAAGCAATTCAAAAGACACATGGAAACAGCAACAAACACTGATTCCAGGTGAAGGTGTTTGGAGATAAAGACAAGGTTAAACCCCCTCTACCATAGAACACAATGTACGCAGGATTAATTCAATTAAAAATAATTATTCCAATTTTAGCACTAGTAGGCTAAACTGCCATGTCCCCAATCATGTTTGGTCAAATCAACATAAAAATATAAGTAATATAAATCAAAGAAATTCTATATTTTTTCATTATTGTTGTATAGCGTTGTTTATAATATTCCTCACCAAATGTTATTTTTTGTTATTAATGCGCTTTTAATGCTTAAAATGAAGCAAATCCCCCTGCTCACTCCCCCTGACAAGTCATGTGACTCAGGAAGTAGCATACATTTGTGGCGGGAAAAATACAGAGTAAGAATCACTCTTTAATTAACCTTTTTTCCAATGTTTAAGATGCTTGAATGATGTCGTAAACCATAACATATCCACATTGTTAAGCTTATTCATAGTGGAAACCAATCATTTTTGGTCATTTTGAAACAAGGTTAATAAATGTACTAAAAATATTCCTCTGTAGTCACAAAGCGCTGGCTTGTTTTTCATCTCATGAGTAGTAATGGCTAACTTTAGCATAAAATGTCCACCCTGTTACTGATTTGCACAGTAACAGGGTGGACGTTAAGTGTTGGAATAGTGTTTCCAGCATGTGTTGGTATTCATTATTAATTTATTATGAATGTATTTGTTATATACTTTTAAAATATTTGTTAAAAATGGCATGCTTGTATTTGTCAGGGAATGGCGCCCCTGTCTGCTGCAGGGCACATCGGGATGCAGACCCTGAAAGAAGGCAACGATACCTCAAAAAAGAGGATAGGTGGAGAAAGAACAGAGTAAAAGGAAGAAAGAAGAAAGTGTCAGACCTCAGTGAAAGAGAGAAGAGAGCACAGAGAAAGAAATGGCGAGAAAGGAAGAAAAAGCTTAGGAAGAGTGCCAGAGCCAGGACTGCTCTTCCTCCAAGTCCAGACACTCCACCAGAGCCGGGCAATGCCCCACTACTAGGGCCCTCGAGGTTAGAAGAGGTGTGTGAGTGTGTTAGTCAGTCCATGTATTGCTCATGTTGTTGGGACATAAATCTGTTGACACAGCCACATTGCGGGGACTCGCCTTCCTTTTAATCACAGCCAAAACACTGTTATGATCTTCATATTGGGTCATAAATCAAAGCTTTAATGGTGGTTACTTTAATACAGTACAATATTTTTTTATATTTCTGTTGGGTTATTTAACTGATAATTATAGTTATTTTGACAGTAATATCGTGATATTTCTGCCACTTTCAACCAAGAAGGGTTGTTTTTCATATTGGGTAAACTGAGGGAAAAGAAACTCCAGTTTTACCTTAAAACTGCTACAAATATATTTGTTTTTTTGTACAAAAACAAAAACAAACAAATCGACTTAGTTAAGTTTAGGAAAAGATGATATTCAACATCACAAATAATTGTATTCATTTAGCATGTCTCTGCTGCCCTCTGGTGTTTGAAGAATAATATGCTCCCAATGCGCCGGATCATTTTGAACTTTTTAGTGAACCTGTCCCACATCAGATGTCTGTTTTAAGGATACCAGTTGTGAATGATCTCATGGAGTGTCAGGTTTTTCCTTCCAACACCTCATTCAGCCTGTACAAATGAATACTTACCATCGTCTCCTGTTGCCAGCAATGAGGGAATGACTTAATATCCGTCTAATCGTCTGTGGTACCGTGTTCATACCTACGGTTCATAAGCAGCTCCATACAGGATACATCAGAAAAAGATGGATGTGACAATATCCAGGTTTTGTTTCTGCTTTGAAACAGTTCTCCTTTCAACTCATTAACATTCAAGTTGCTCTAGGCTGTACATATATTATTTGATTTCTACATTAAGGTGGAAGTTGTTCATATTAACAAAATACTAATTGCACTGCTCTGGGCCACAAAAACAACCCATGTGAAGTGTCAAATTCACTTTAGAGGATGGATTGCTGGAAACTATGAAACATGACTTTCCTCTACATTCAATTACTCAAAGCTGTATTGAATTGTGTATACTTTATATATACTTCAACTTTACCACATTTCAGAGGCAAACATTGTACGTTTTACTCCACTACAGTAATTTGATATATATAGTACTAGTAGAATAATATTAGCATAATACTAGTTAATGTCAATTACGTTTTTACATACAAAACACATCTTTTAAAATATGATGTATTATTATAGATTAAACTAACAGTATATAAAGTAGCTAATATTAGCTTCACCTACGACATCAAAATATTCCTAAAATGTTGCATAAGTAACAATAACAGTAAAAATATATAATAGATTACAACTTTTAAAAAGGCCATTCTGCAAAATGAGTACTTTTGAATCCTATGTACATTTTACTGTTTTTGTAGTAGTTGTACATTGTGTATTTGTACATTGTGTTATTTCTTGCTTGATACTGGTGGTAGTTGTGTGCTATGATCTGGGGTGTTATTTCTGGACAAAAACTATTTTTACTAAACTGAAGGGCTGCGACAAGACATTGTAATCGAATTAAGCTGCTTGCTGGTGACAGATGTGACTCTATGGAATACGTCATCCTTCATTTTATTGCACTTTGGAACGTCAATCTCAATAAATGATCATCTGGTTCACTTGCTGGTGACGCTATCCACTCTCTGTTTGTAGATCACAATATATTTCGTCCCACAACGTCCTAGTGGTAAAACACAAGAAAACACCAGCAGATAAAAAAAAGAGTCAAACGTCTCTGAGTCAAGTGTCCCAATATGTGCAATATAACATGTACCGTCTCATGGCCTTGCTTGCTTTCTCTCTGTTCAGCACCATGTTGGTGTTGTTTTCCAAATCCTTTAGGGGGAAATACAAAGTGTTACATCACAAGACATGCATTTAAAATCTTTTTTTACTTAAAAAAAATATTGTCAAAGGTGAAACTCCCTTGCCTTGTTGGTGGTCTTCAGACGGTCATTTGAGGCTATCAGTCTTATTATCTCTGTCTGGAAGCAAACAGAATAAGAAGCTAAATAAAACATGCAGCCATATGCATTTTTAGTGCACACCAATTACTGTACAAGTCCTGCTTTAAGTTTATTTCTCAAAGAGCGCAAAGGCAAAATTGATGCTCAATGGGATGCAACAGTCAAATTGTGCTGTTCATGAACTTGTGAGGAACAGGGCAGAATACAGTATATTAGTATTAACAGACATTTTATTTTTCTCCCAGCACCTTTAGGTCTTTGATGCATCGTCCCGTGGCCGCGGTTGTAACAGAGGACACTGGCTTCTCCTTAAGCTCCTCCTCCAGCTGTTGGTTCTCCCGCCACGTGTTCGACACCTGAAGCCTCTTGGATTGGACACTGCTGGTGTGGCCGATGGCAGTTCCTCTGTCATGCAGCCCTGACAGAGGTGTATCTGTCCAAGCACAGAAGAATGTATCTGTATCTGTACACACACACCGCTGCAGGCATTATAAAGTCACAGCTGACTCACTTAAACTAAAACACTTTCTTTATGCCTGCTGACAAAGTAATTATTTGTTCAATCACGCTATTTAAAAGTTAGCATGTGCTGTGGCCTGCAGGGTAATATACAGCAAATGCTTAGAAGTGGTTCACCAATGATTATCTACCAGCGTAGTCTTGAGACTTACTCGTCATGTCACTGTCCTCTGGGCCCATGATAGCTGGAACATTCCGTGATTCATTTCGGACTCTGAGATCAAACAGGAACAAACATGCTTAAAATAATGAGACAGTATATAATCATATCTACTTTGATTTTGGTAGACAGATCCGTGCAGTACCGTTTATTCTCCTCTAGAGCTCTCTTGGCCTCCTGCTCCAGCCTTAAAACCTCTTTTTCAGCATCCTCCAACTCCATTTGCCTTACTTTGTCATTGCCAAGATCTTTGAGTGAAGTCTCCAGCGACTGTAACAGAGCAACAACAAAAACATATGAACACTTGCATTCCAAAAAAAAACTCAAAACATGCTTGAGAGAAATTCTTGTTCTGTGGCTTTTTGCAAAAAGATTCAAGGCTCCAAGACATTGCAAAATCTGTCATGACCTCATAAACATATTCTGCCGTTTCAAAAAATACATGCTTATACTCGCTCCACTGAAAAAATATCACATTGCCAGCAGCCCTGAGATCAGTTTCTAATGGACATATTACCATGAAAATGATGACAGGCCCTGTGAAGAGTGACCTTTGACATGAACTGTTGCTGAACTATAGGTGCGGTTTTGTAACATTGAAAATACTTCAACTTTGCACTAATGTTTCCTCTTTTAGAGGAGGGCAACATTCTAACACAGTATGAAAGGCAATTTATAATACATTACTGTAAACATAAAGCCATTACTGTATGATATGCTTGTTGTCAATCAGCTGACACCCACAGAAGGGAGTCAAGGTTTCTGACAGGAAATTAGGCCAGAAAGTCACATACATTTCTCAGGCCTTCTTCTTCTCGTATGTCTTCTGTATTTATTTGAATCGATTAAGAGCAGTGTGCTTTACCATGTCGTGTAGCAATGATTGGGAAGCCATCAAGTGGTTGACATACAAATCATAATCTGTCTGGAAGAAAAGAGAAAACATTATTTATTTTTTAAATGATGTGTCTTTGTAGAAGAAATCAAAACTTTACTGAAATTTTGGAAACAACAATATACTTCAATCTACTGCTCATGGGTTTGTCACAACGCGCTTCATTGCATTACAGCTGATGGTGGAAAATGTAGACATCTATCATAATACAAACTGCCAGGTACAGATCATGTGTGTTAATAAAATATTACACATTTTCCGAGTTACTGTAACATTTTAGCTACTGTTAAATTATCTAGGTTTTAGCTGCAAGGCAACCTCACTATCTACTCATTACAACAAATGACTGTCAAGCAATGACCAGTTTCATTTAAATTTAGTTCATGAGCAAAATGCACACATTAGCGCAATGCTAAATTATAAGCATGCAAAGCAGTTCTACTGACAGTGTGAGCAAAGCCATTGTGTGCAAAAAAAAGACACTTGCATGACCCTGAGTTTTTTGTTTTTTTAATGAATGAGCAGTAATGCAACCGTTGCCCACTGATGACCTGCTTCCAGACGCACCATGACCAGTGGTTGCTCCACTTCCGCTTGCTACACCAGGGACTCAATCTCCCTTGGCTCTAATAGAACTGAAATGTATCTGACGGCACATGCTAAAAATGTGCTAGTGGGTACAGAGGAAATGGAAAAACCTTAATTTCCCTCAGGATGCGTCCAAATACTGGCGAGCCCTCACATACATCATCAAAGACGTCACTGAACACCGCAAGGCGGTCTCTGTCGGGCCAGCTTTGCGCTGACAACCTCCTCAGCTCCTGGGAATGACAGGAACACACGCAAAACGTTACCAAGTTAAGACGTGAGTGCACCTTGTGCAAGAGTTTGAGAGGACATTTCAAACTGCCATCTCATGTAAAATTGGCCTGGAAATTGCGCAACGGTGCAATTACAAAATTAGTTGCGGGATGTCTTGGTCTGTGTGACCATTCTCACCTTTTGTAGTTTCCTCTCATGCATTTCAGCAACATTTATTCCAGCCCAGAGGTCCTGCTTGGCTATGACTTGCCTGCCAACAAGTTGTTTTGTCTTTAACTGGCCTTTATTACTCGGGCCCTTGAGGTCAGAACGCTGTTTCCCCACCAGATCAGATGAAGAGTTCGACTTTTTCCGGGACAAGGCTCTCGGCTGGAGCGGCAGAGAGTTTGAGGAACAGGAAGCCATCTTAGGTAGACATGTATCTTCCGTTTTGCCTGCATGTGATGAGCAATCAGAAGCCTGGCCTTGTCTTGACCCCGAGACATCAGACTCTACTAAAGCAGTGTCAGTGGAGAACTCAAAGGGGAACTTTTTCATCTCTTTCTTCTTTATATAGGTCAGCGCCTTTGTCCGTGTCGGCTGGCATGTCAGAGGGTTTGGGTTTTCTTCTCGGCCCCGAGACATCCTCCAGAAAGACTGCTTTGTCTCCCTGTGAGGCTGACTCTGGTTCATGCTGCGGGGCCCAAGATGACCCGAGGAGTAGGTCAGGGTATCAGCCTTCTGAACAGCTTCAGCAGCCAGCAGCAGTCTGTGGATGTCGCTCCTAAAGCACACAGCCTTTGGCTATGAAGGGACAAAACACAGTATTGTAAAGTTTGTTGAAAGGCACACAAGGTGACAGTAAACGTCCCAATATTAAGCAGCAGAAGTACAATGATTCCGCCAAATATATTTAACACAAATGCATTTACTTAGTTTGCGCTTTTATCCAAGGCAATTCACAATTAGGCCTAAATTGCTTGAAATAGGTGACTAACAATGAACTCAGCAATGTTGTGTGTCTAAAAAAAGTACTCTCACTCCTAAAAACACAAAATTGTGAAAACAAATGGAGGTAGAGCTAGTCAATTAAGCTATCTAACCAGCGTTAATACTTTTGTAAATTCTAAATCAAATTGGTTTTCCACAATCCTGAGTCCCCTATCATAACTAAAATGTTTGCAGACATTCAGAAACCCTAAAACAATGACCTCACCTGTCAGCTGACTGTAGTTCTGTGCAGAGTCACAACAAACGTGCTTCAAGAACACAACAGTCTGTTCTTTGCTCAGTCGCCAAGGACACCGAAGCGCGTAATGTCTGCGTTGCATTCAATGTCTTGATAATAATCGTACTTGTGAACTTTTAGGTGCTTTGGAACACCGCGAGGCAAAAAAATGAAGTTGAAGTGTAGTTTACGGTGCAGACCATAATCAAACTTTTACACCTGATACATTGTGCGCTGTAGGTTTAAGTTCATGTGTGCAGAAAGCAAGCATTAGGTTGATAAGAATTAAAAATACAAGAATTAGCTTGCTAAGTCATATATAACAGTTGTGGCCTCTGAAATTATTGTGAAAATAACATTTTGTCTTTTAGTTATTTGAAAGAATTCAACCAATCAGAGAAGTCAATTTGAAAATCCAGAGTTTTCAAGTAGGAGAGTTTAACAAACTGATATGTTATTCCTCTAGTTTCCATGCTTTCCTTTCTCTGTTTTTTTTGTTGCAAACTCTCAATAAACAGAAAACAAAGGAACAAACATTAAAAAGAAAAATACATTCATCCATCAGAGCAAAGAACATATGTGTGTGCGATAGCAGGTATGGAGTTCAGACAGCTGACCATGTGTAAAGAATCATAGCAAAGCAAGGGCGGATTTGAATATTTGCAGGCCATGAAAAAGGGCAGGCAAGGGCTTCCCTGTATCTCAAACCCAAGCTCTTGTGAGCCCATTCTTTCCGTAACCCCATTCCACTTTATTTTGCTACCCTATAAAATACCTTGAAGAGGAGTGTTAGGCTTTTTACTTTTCTCAAGACAAGTTTAGATTTGGAGAAAGCCAACGGATGCCTTCCACAACCTCAGTGTCTGTTTGCAGCTGTGTTACACAGTGGTGGATATGTAGTGGTGGGCAGCCATCTTGAGAAAATGAAACCCTCATTGTTGGTCTAAGAGATAACAACTGAGGGAGATCAACTTACAATAATTGTTGCTGACACTGTGCTGCTTTTCATTGATGATATATATATATATAAGACAATAACATCCACCACTGCTAAACAATTCTAAGGTATGTTTCATGAACACACCTTCCATGATCCAGATCGAAGCATGCCATCAAATAAAAATATGAAATTCAGACATTCAGTTGGCTACAGTGTGGCAGGGAGTTCTGTTTTTCTGTTGATCATAAAACACGTCGACAACGTTGCTGTATTACCTGCAGTAATGAATAAAAAACAAAACCTCAAATTACTGCCTCGTGCACTGCATGCCTCCACCAAACATGTTGCAGTTTACGTCCATGTTTGTCGAAATTGTCGTCACTTTATCCTGTTAGACATTTGTGTGAAATTGTCAAAAATTCTTGAGTTTTAGCCCAAAACATTCTGAGGTCACAGTGACCTATGAACTTTGACAACAAATTTCTAATCCCTTCATCCTTCAGTCCAAGTGGGCGTTTGTGCCAAAGTTCACATGAATGGGACGGATGGACATACAGTAGCTATTGCTGCTCTAGGGCTGATGGACCTACCAGAAACTCTGATTTGAGAGGTTAGAAGGGTGAAATATATAACCATATACAGTATTAGCAGGCTAAAAATGGGGCCCAGGTCATGTTTTTTAACAAATTTTGTTTTAAAATGGGGTGGTGCTGATTTTCATCAACTGCACAACGTTCAGCACAGACGTTACTTAGTATCTCTGCTAGGCCAACAAGAAATTAAGTCAGGGTATTCTCACCATTGCCAGTTATTTTGAAGATCCCCAATTCTTATTTATACTTTAACTTTTAACAAAAATGTACAAATATTTAACGATGACTTATCTCTCGGATAATTAAATAAATGGACCTGATTAAGTGCAATACGTTAATAAAATATTCTGCATTAACAGTAGAATAAATGCAAACCGGTAGGTAATTCAAACAGGAAATGAAGAATGATCAGCCGCTGACATGTATTTTCCAGGTATTTAATAAAAGTCATTTGGGCGACTGTTCTTACGTTTACAGTTGAGACATTCCGCAATTATTCTGGGTAACAGGAACATGTCTGGACCGTTTTGTTTATCTTAATGTTTAATTTGTACAAAACAAAAAGGCCAACATTATTTTTCTCTGTATAAAAAAATATAAGTTAATTTAAATTTAACTCTAATTAAGAAAATAACAATAGTAATAACAGCAATAATAATAATAATGATAAAGACCATAAGCTAAACATAGTGCAGACAATGAAATATAACTGGTGCTGAAAAGTAGAAGGGACAGTGCAGTGTTATGGACTTATCCATGTTCTCAGGTGGGGTTGGAGCAGGGAAAGAGACAGTCAGAAGCTCTCTCTCACTCTCTCTCTCCCTCACACACACACACACACACACACAGTCTGAAAGTGCACAACTGCCATTCAGTTTAGCGCCATCAGAGCATACATCTCAGTCTGTACAAAGTAATTCCTAGATTGCACACAATATACAGCTATTACCGTATCCTGAAAAATGATATATAAAGTTTAGTTGAGGTGCATGCTAATTGTTGCTCTTGGTTGATGCTTACTGGAAGTAATTCTGAAAAGTAAGACAGAGCACATCAGGAAAACTGATGGCGCACTGACCCACATGCCACCACCGAGGATCAACAAAACATTCATCAAAATGCTCATTCACACCATTTGGGAGCCACAGTACCAGTTGTAAAACAAATCATTTGAGCGGTAATTTCAGTCTTGAAGGGACAATGTCCACTGGAATGACAGTTTCAGACGAAAAAAATAGTCTTTTGGAAGATCTCGGAAACTCATTTGAAAGAGTCCAAATGTACCCCCTTGCATGGCGTTGGAGAGTAAGCGTAAAGGAGGAGGATTTATTTCCTTCGACAGGCCATGGAAATGAGGGGGACTTCTGTTACACACTTGCAGAAAGTCAACCAAACATTCTTGAGTTGCAATCCCAGAGATAGACATATGATGCACTTTAGCTTAACGGGTTTGACATTATGCGAAAATATGAAGCTGACCCCTGTTGAGACTTCTGGTGAGCTGCTGTGCCCGGCATCATCAGCAAAAAAGTGTCATAAATGTTTCACACTACGGCTTTGAACCTGCAAGGACACCTAATGTCAAACTCACTGTCACTGTATAGTCTAGGATTTATCCCACCTCCTCACCCTTTTTTAAATTTACACCTCAATAACTCAAACACCTAACCTTGTGTAATGAATCAGGATGCTATCTAGTCATTACATAAAGTAGTCAACACGTAAAAAGTTTGTTGTGTCACTGCAAACAAAGAAATCTTTAGAATCTGCTGGGACTCTTAACCAACTTGTGCAGTATTGTGTTTTATTCATGGTTGTAGAAATGATTACTAATTAATGAGGAGAAACCAGATTGTTGTGTGAAATAATTAATGATGTGATAGTGGTGTGAAAAATGTGACGACAATGAAAATTCAATGGGCTATAAGCCTGCACACAACTATGCTATAACTGATGCTATTCATGCATCTTCTTCCTTCCTTCCTGCGCGCAATATTTCTGCTGACCTGGGCTCAGGTTCTGTTAATCAGAAGAAAGTGGATCCACTGTGCAGCAGGTTCCTAAATGCCAGGAGGGGCCGTGGGCAGTGCTGTGGGGCCCACTTCAGGGAGAAACATTGTGACTCTCTTGTGACTGTGTTCACAAGAGTCGACATTATCTAAATCCTCTCACCACAGTTCATTCAGGTTTTGAAGAATATGCTATGGGGGATTTCTCCACGTAGAATAGGCTGTATGTTTTTATTCAAGTACTGCAAAGGATTTTTGCTCAAAAAGTAATAAAAAAAACATTCCGGCATCCACCTCCTCAGTAAGGTGGCTTTAAACCATACATTTGCTCTACACATTCCTTCTGTCTCTGGAAATACCTTGGTGAAGTAGTGTGCGTACGATAAACCTACCACAGAAGGCAAACAGTACCATTTCAAAAAAACCTGAACCAACAACAAGATTTCACATATTTCTAGCCTGTGAAAGGTTCAGAGTAAGGCCCCTGCAAATACAAGACCGTTAAAGAATCAGCTCATATAAAAAAAGAATCATAACATAACCTAAAACTGCCAAAAATTAAAACAACCAAAACGGCACATGTCCATTCTAACAAATGAATTCCCAAGCTGAGTGGATGTAGAGCGATGGGTTGAAGTCCCTCCCCACCGGCTGTCTGTCAGTCTCTGGGATCGGTGAAACCGTCAGTGTCGACACCTCCATCACCTAATGAGGTAACTGTGTGTTTTCAAAGTCAAGTCGCCTTTAGCTGATCCGTCTCCTGCTAACGCAGGATGTGGGTTCTTCCCCCTACAAAGTACCAGGTCCGTGGCAGGATTCTAGTTGTATTCCTTTGGTGGGCCAGCAACCCCTTTGGTAGTCAGTTGTCAACCTTGACAGGGCCCGAATCACAAGGCCGGTTGGGCACTACGTCCTGCACCTCTCCCCGCGATATCTTCTCCCACTGGCCCAGGTTCTCCCTGCAAACACAAAACGCCTCAGACTCAGGATGTTGTCGGTTTACAACCATGTCAGCGTCAATCAAAGACATGCAAACTTCATCAATAAAAGGACAATTTCAAACAAAACACACTGTGAATGAAATGTTATTTTTCTTTCAAATTACCTCATGATGACATTTTGTTTTGAAAAAGCTATTATTACTACATGTATATACTACCTACAGTATATTTGTTACTTATTCACAGCTGACAATCTCAAGTGGTGAAAATGAAATGTATTCCTGTAGCTACTGATGGGTAACTAGCTAGTTAGCTCACAAAAGTATAGCACTTTGCTGCCACAAGGGTGTGCATCTGATGTTAAAAATGGCATGGACAACAGAGGTGAGGTTATGCAACTTTCGCAATATTAGAACAGAAATATCAGAATATCAACATAATCACCACGTCAATTATGGTCTTGAAGAGATCCAAATTAAATGTCAACACATTGCAACAACAATACAAAAGCTGCATTAAACCACACCAAACTAAACATAATTAACAATGGTCAAACACATGTCACCGCAGTGAGTGTAATTCATTCGTCATCTGCAGTAGCGGCACTATCGGGCCTTATTGTCATGACGGTAACCTCTCCCCTTTGTGCTACAATTAAGCCTGACACACACAAGTGCAGAAAGTGCTGCCCTTTGCTGCGTTCACTTAGCCAGGCTGATGCAGTTTACACGTCTGTGGCAGATCCCACAACAAGCAGCCGGGCTCCGCGGGGTCTAGGCTCGCTGCCCACCCAAGGCCCGCTGCTGACGTACAGCCGGGGCTTAAATATTACACTGCTCACTTTGTTTGCATTCCCCGCGAATCAAGGTCACAACGTTTTAAAAGACCAGCGGGTTACCACAGGAGGGCAGGCACATGTGCCATATGATCCTGTACAGTACAAATATAATTCTTACACTCTTATTGATTGTGAAAGCGTCACATACACATAAACACTGTTAGTACACTGCTTTCTATACATAGATGTATGTATATGAATATGTTTTTCAGAAAGTGTCGAGCACAGGTTTGTTTTTTCCGTGGAACTCTTGGAATGTGCGCCTATACACGCACTTCTTATCACCTCTATTTGTCTGGCTAACTGCTGCTGGTCAGACGAGGCCAGCACACATGTCACTTTTTGCTCTTCAGGCTGTTGTCAGCGCATTTATTGGCCATATCAGATGTGAAATCACCACGACAATATTGTGTGAAGTATTGTATAGTTTTGATTGTTTTACGTTTTTGACCTATTTCACAAAAAATAGAAATGAAAACACCTACAATTAGATAGTTAAATCATCTTTTATTGCTTAATACATACGCTAAACACATTGTCTGTCACCTCACATTCTGGCATGGCTTTCTGTCAAAGCACACGGCGAAGAACGAGACTTTCCCTCATACTTTCAAACTGTATCTTTGAATACTTACTTGCAGGCATTTAGAAGAGGATTGGATGGAGGGAAAAGCTTCGACAGTGTCGTGTAACATGGAATTGCAACAGCATTATAGAATCCCACCTTAAGAAAAGGACAAATAAAAAAAACACAAACAAGCAAGTAAAATGGCAGTTTAATACTTACCAGTTAGTATTATTTGAGGCCTGTGTATGTAGTTCGAGTGTCACTCAATACTGTATATTAATTGTTGTGTGGGTGGACTATGGGTGTGTAGGGGCATGACATTAAGTATCTTTTACATTTCTTTGCTGCCTTACCTGTATTACCTGTATAGCATTCTGTCGGGGCTTCTTACACTACATCCTGTTTCTTTAAGAGTGGCAACAAATACATCAATCCTTAAAGTTGTTATTTTGTTATCTGTATATATGGTGATGATACTAGTTATTGTAATATTTTTCATATTTTCTCTATTTAAGTCAACTACTAGTACTCCTACTTGTGTGAAACTTTCTGAGTGTGAGTGTAAAGTAGAGAGTGAGCCTCATTAGAGACACATGAGTAAAGGTTCTGGTCTTACTTGGCCTTGGGGAACCTCGTCCTTCTTATCTCTGTCCATCATAGGGATCGGCTGCAACCCGATCTTCTTCATCTCATCTCCCTGTGGAGGAACATAAAGAGAGAAATTGCCTTTTATTTTTGTATACTGTCGCAAATCTTCTGACCAATAGACAACACTATTTTGCGCTTTACAAATTGTAGGACAGCATTTTCAAGTAACCATACAGGTCCGACTGACTAAATGACACTAAAACGGTTTAAACTCCAGCAGCATCCCACTGTACCTCAGACCAGAACTCAGCATAGATGTCGTTGGCTGTGAGCCGTGTGATTTGCCATTGCTTGGTAACAGAACACAGGTCACATGCCGTCATCATCAGACCAATCACACGGTCCCTGGAGGGGAGCAAAGCCTTGTTATAGCCATGAGGAGAAACTCAATGAGCCGTTGATGTGCACCAGGTCTGCGTTTGAAGCCACGAGACCTGGTGTGATCTTGACTTGACCTGCACACCGGTGCGAGTCGTGACCTCACCTGTGTGTGTGGTTGCTCAAGTCCAGCGCACTTGAGGTGAGCAGCTCCGACAGCTGCTGGTGGTTGTTGAAGTACAGGGCGAGGTCCGTGGCGATGATGGCCTTCCGGATAATCTCTAGCACCTGCTCGTACTCGCTGGAATTCAGGTTGGAGAAAATATTGTGCCCTTCCAGCTATGAGAAACAAAGAGATCAATAAAAAAGCAAAAGCTCCACTTATGAGGCGTTCAGCTCAGCTAGACCACAACAGGTTGTAATCTCACGGCCATCTCAGGCCATCTTGGGTTGACGCAGATCCTGGACGTAGAGAGGGCAGTCAGAACTAAATATATATATATATGATCCTTTCTTTGTGTCCGTAGTTCACAATGTGTGTGTAAGCATTCGTTTTCGAGAAATGATATGTTAATTTAAGTGTTAGAACAATGTAAAAATGTTCTGTCTGATCTGATCAAACAAACTGCAATTGAATAAATTAAATACAAAAAATAAATGAAATTCACGTTGATTTTGATCATGTGGTTTTAGTCTCTAAAAGTCAGTTCTAATGTAAATGAGTTTATGAAGTTATGTGTTTTTGCAAAGTTTTACTATGTTGTAATCTTTCTTTATTAGTGGGCTTCAAATGATGACCTGCTTTCTGCTTTGCTAATGACATTCGTCCACATATGGCATCACTTTTGACACCCTCCCCTTGCTACTGTATGTTGTAATTTGTTTTGTTATATCTGCAATTCTTTCGCATGTGGTATTCCCATGTCTTTCCCCACCATCTGCAAGTCTTTAGACATGCCGATGTGCTTATAATGAAAAGGTGAAAAACGTTATGCAAAGCACATCATTTCATAATAAACAAGAGAATTTAAAAGTGCTGATTACTTAAAGTAAGTTCTTCATAATAGAGCTCTACCTGTAGGATGGAGACAGTCTGAGAGAAGTGGTGTTGTTCCATGGTGGAGCTGGAGTACAAAGCAGCCAGCGGGTGGTCAAACTTCTGCAGGTATGAGTTGCTGTAACCCCGATGGTCCAGATCATGGCACAGGCAGGCGATCAGCAGACCCTTCTTCTGTAGACCAGAGTGGAAAGACAAGAAAGACAAACCTTGAAATCACAAAGGACCCCAGTTTCTGATCTTGCTTTTATGTATTTCTATCTTGGAGCAGTAAAACCCAGACCCAATGAGGAGCAAACCTCTAACTCTGTGAACATCCCAGAGGTTTTCTGTAGGATGGCGAACATACAGTGTGCCACTGTCACTGCGTGCTTCCAGTTGTGGTAGGGAACACGCCGGTAGTTCTTTCGTACGGACATGGTGAACCGACACAGCTTCTCCAGCTCAAAGCTACACATGGAAAGAACGGCTGATTAGCAACTGATCAACCGGCACTTAGACGAAAAGCTGACACTGACATTGTGACGGTCAGTGAAACCTTACCTGGTCTTTCCACAGGAGTTATGAACCATGTAGATAAACACAGCAGGCCAGATCTCCTCAAAGGGACTAATGTCAAAGTGGAACCTGGAGGAGGGACGACGAAGTGAAAGGAGAGACTTAAATTAGCATGTACAGCACACAGTAGGACATATAAGGGGACTTCTGAGGTGTGTTAAACTGTCAAGTTGTCCTCCAGAAGACCTTCCCCTTCCTGACTTATGTCTCAGCAGGATTTGGAAAAACGTGGCCATGCAGCGTTGAGTTTTTATGCACCATATATCTGGAACAAACTCCCAGAAGACTTCAGGTCAGCTGCGACTCTCACTTCTTTTAAATCAAGGCTGAATACTTTCTTGTTTGCCGCTGAATTTTATTAATGTATCTCTTACACTGTCATTTTTAATGTTTTATTTTCTACCTGTCCTATTATTTTCTAATTTCTTGGCTCTTATTATTTTTTAATTGTAATTAAATGTCTTTAATGTGTTTCTTTGGCACTTTGTCTTTTGATGTTTTATGTAAAGCCCTTTCAATTGCCTTGCTGCTGACATGTGCTGTATAAATAAACTTGCCTTGCCTTCCTGTACTGTTTATGCAGAGCTTCTGGACTCTGTCATCGTCACTTTACAGACACGTGGCTCAACCACACTCACAGCAGGGACACAGCAGAGATAATGACCAAAACCTGAAAGGGCACTCACATTTCGATCTCTTTATAAATGGGTGTAGGGAGGTTGAGCTGGGTAAGGGTCTTCCATTCTTCTGATGTGCAGATGCTGTGATAAGACAGCTTTTCCATCGTCACTCTGTAAATGCATTCAGAGTGCCGGATCCTGTGGTACATCTGCAGAGACACACGGAACAGGAATAAGTCTTTAAAATGTCGAGAGAGAAACTGAATACTCCAGCGCTACAAACACCCAGAGAAGATATCTCATATCTTTGTTGAATTCTTTAAGTATCACTGTTGGAATTTCCAAAAGGGTCGGACCAAGTTAAGTTATTTGCAACAGTCCTGTATCATATTTTATCTGTCTCAAAAAGAGTCTCCGCATCTGGTTTGTATCCCTGTCCCCTATCCAGACAGACAGGAATAAGACAGCTACAGGCGCCAAGCCTCACACCTTTCACCATAAATCAGCGAAGATCAGGAGCCAGCCCGAGCAAGTTTCCCGGAGACGTGGGGGCATAAATTACACCAAAACATAAATCCTGTCAGTGGACGGATGCAGACTGCTTGTCTTAAAATATTAACACGCCTCATCAATTTTAAAACCAACTTGGTGACGCTGTTCCTGCGTAAGTTTGTCACACGAGATGGTGAGTCAGGCCCCACAGAGAGGAGAAGGCTTCGACAGACAGACCGCACAACGCAGTCTGTGAGATTTGTGAAACGTCTGTGTGTTCCTTGTAACGAAGTCATCGCCCGAAGAAAATACGCTTTTATTCACATTTTGGGGCAATGCACACTTTAAATAGAAGCTTTTGGCACTATCTTTGTCAAAACTTGGAAAATAAATGAAATTTCTTCTCTGACAAATAGGGAAACCCACAGCCTAGTAACAGCTGAAACACGCCTTTCAGCTACAGAACGAATTTAGGGCAGTGATGAGGCCACTACGTCAAAGGTGCAGCTTTCTCAAAATAACAATCAAGTATTCATGGTGAAGAAGTATTATATAATCTACAATGCACTAAAGAGCAGGCTTGTGCAGACAGATATGAAATTACTAGATTATGTTTTTGCTGTTGGAGTAAATCAGCTAGTCGTTTGAGCATTTCAAGACGTATTCACTTTACTCACATTAGCACAGTGTAAGGCCAGAGCACAAAAGACAGCAAACATCTTAAAGTTGTTCTCATCCGTTTTGGTGAAGGCACTTCCGCTTAGCTTGTTCACCATCTGCACCACACCTATAACGGTCCCCCTGCTCACGATGGGCATGCACAGGATGTTCCGCGTGGTGTAGCCGGTTTTGAGGTCCACCTCTCTGTTAAGGAAGACATACAAAAATATGTTACTGTCAATTCATCACAGATTTTCTTTCAGTGAGTTTATAATGTGAAATGTACAGTAGAAGGGCAGCATGTTCAGGTCTTAACTCTGGCCTCTGTGATGAGTATGACTACAGTGTTTTATTCTAAATACAGGAGAATAAGCAAAGTCAACTGAAGAAAGAATTGTCTGGGACAAATCATAGCACAACTTCAACTTCAGCTAATTAGGTAGACAACTCATCATAGTTAATGGAAAAGATGGCTTTTACCGGTTGAACCGGGGGTCTGCATAGGCATCTGGGATATTTAAGACTTCCCCTGTCTGAGCCACTTGGCCAGCTATTCCCTTGTCAATAGAAAACCTGCGGAGAAAGAGGAGAGAAGAGGAAGAGTTAGCTTTCTGGATGCCCGTCGAGGCTTTCTCAGTCTGTCGTTTCTGAGTGCATGGGTGAAAATCAATAATATGATAAATCATTTTTTTTTTAGAGGGTACAATTGATGATGTTCCATTGTAATGGTACAATATCTAGTTAAAGATTTTCCCCCTGCTTTTCTATTGGTGGAATCATTTCTGTCAGAGCTTTCTTTGTCACAAGATGAACCTTGTTTACTGTACACTATGGTTGACAATGTCTTCTAGGGGCGGGAAACACACTTTTGGATGTGTGGAGACAAAAACACGTTTGAACATTAGTGTTCACATCACTGTTCTACTAATTCAAAATAAACTTTTCAATGGAATTCTGTATAAAACAAATATATAATGATGTATAAATACATATAGATAAAAATAGAACTAGGACACGTTCAAAATCAAATGAGGATACTGTTTAACACACTGAAGGAGAAAAGGGTAAATCTTACACACCTAATTTCTTTGGTTTTCCTAAAGACAGGTTTGCCTTCTTTCTCTTCCCCGATATCGAACAGGTCAGAGTACAGTTCTTTGTTGTTGTGATCTACCTGGAAGAGTGCGCACCTGTCCGCATTCACCAGGTTTTTTGCATATATCTGCAAAACAACACCAGGGACAAAATGTTATTAGCAACATTGAGGGTTTGAAAGAACTGAAAAAAAAAACATGGACGATTACATCTCGCACATTTAACTGAAATCATCGTAAATCAGATCACTGCAGTTTAAATCTTTTCTCTTTTGGATGGAACAGTTAAATGTAGAGACGCAGAGTATAACTAACTACAGGTCATTCCAATTCATTTCAGTGTTTGAACCAGATGACTTGAATGACCTGAGATGACACCACAGTCACAAGGTAACAAATACATACAAACAGAGAGGTGGCTTTTAGTAGAAAAACAGGAAAATCATGTTTTACACTCAACCAGATCAAATGTGTTTTAAAATATTGCAAGCTGAAAAACTTGAGCCTAAACATGTACTTAGTATGTATATTATATTGGTAACAAATGATTATCATTATGAGAAGTATTATTATTATTATCATATATCTTTAATGCCAACAATAGGAAATATTAGCAGTACCCCTCAGGTATCAAGACAGCCTGTGTGTATCTGTATAACGGCAGCATTACTACTCTTTTTAACACACATAAAGTAACACACACTCCCAGGATGTGTAGCCTTGAAGACAATGTGAATGAACACATACTTGCAGAAATCACACTCACCATAATATGTTCAAGTAGAGAATCTATTGCCACAATGTTATCAAAGTATGTTCTGTGCGAAAAGAAGAAATGGCGCATTGAGATGTTGACAAATGGAAAGCTCTGATGACGTTCACATTCAAGACATGAAAGCTAAGTTGCCTAAAATGCAGTAATTTCTTTCTATTGGGTGAGCAAAACTTTTTATTTAATGTTTGACCTGATTCTAACTGTAAAGACACTAACTCACTTTGGAGCCCATATTATTTTTGTCAAACTTAAGACTGAAATAAGAACATTGTGTAAAAACACTTTAGATATGTTTTCATTAGTATTCATTTAGTATTAACAGCAGCTCTTACTTTGACACATCTAGTAGGAAGTCATTGAGCTCAGTCTGTTTGGCGAGGCCCCTGCACACCTAGAAACAAAAGAGAAATGGGTCGTGACCCGGCACCCAGATGTATAACACATTTCTTACAGAGCAGAAACAGCACCCTGCGTATACTGTCAACAAACCAACTTGATGTCTGCACAGTTGGCTGTTGGCCTCCGTCAAGAGTTTCAGCAACAACAAAGCGTGTTTTGCAGCGAGCAGCTAACCCAGAAGCGCAGCGTGCTGCACCGCTCACTGAGGCTTAGAGGTCCACTGTGGCCGCTGCTGCAGTGGGACGCTGCTTCTCTGAGGTGTTAAGCTATATGTTCCTATAAAAACAGCACTAAGGCGTAATGACGTCCTCGGGGAGTTGTTTGTTGAATCTATGACTTAGCTGATTGGACTGGGCTCAGTGACAACCCGGTTCCTGTACACAGTGGATTTCCCCATTAAAAACACCAGTGCAGAACCAGAACAAACACAGTCATCCGAGATCATAATAAATGGGAAGAGTAGGTTTCTCCTTGCTCTCAGACAAGTCCTTGGTGAAATGTTACAGTAGTTTGTTCACCTGTACTTGATGAATGGCAATTGACGCCCACGCTAAATTAGCTGTCGCAACCTGGAAAAGAAAGTGAAGATTAGCTCCAAAGAAATGCAGAAAACAAAAAATCAAACATAATTAAAAACAACACAATTATCTGTTCTGCACATCAGGCAGTCTCATACTGATAGAAGAGCCAGTTAGTCTACAGATCCAGAGCCACTCTGGGGACACAGACACCTGTATCACTGCTACATTTCCATTTCTAGATTCATTTGCAGATTAAAATTTAAGCTGCACTAATAGATGTTTTTATATGAAAAAGGGGTCAAGTGACTATGTGTAATGCAACAGGGTTGCACAGAAAGTTATTACGTTCCCCTCAACTCTACAGAACTTTAATGTCTTTCAGTTCATTGTTTTGGTTTTAAAGCCTTTTTGCTTTTATCAACCTCTTTTCCAGCAGCTGTTTAATTAAACAGCTCATAAACACACTGTACACTGAAAGTTAAAAAAAACTAGCTGGTGAACACAGTGGAACATTTATTATCTAAAGAACCAGACATTCCTCTCATTCGTTAGTGTAGACCAAATCAGAGCTAGAAGCAGAGTGAATATTGAACTACTGGACACTACTTTAAATTAATACTTATGTTGCTCTGTGTCTGCTGGATGTGTAAGCAACACGTGATCCATATCACCTTAAAAGAGGATGATATGTCAGTGTTTTTATTGTGCCAAAAAATCTACTGATGCACATTTGAATAAAATGAAATAAAATGTCACAAATAATTCTCACGTCCCTAGTATGTGATACATTTACAAATACATTGGTAGATGTTTTTTTAATGTAAAGTTCTGAATGTTAAGTGTGAATTTTCAAAGCGTATTCACTGTGACTATACTTGCTTGAGCAACCTGTTTTTTTAGTGATTTTGTTGCTCATTGCACTTATTTCCGTTGCCATTCTACTGAATGTATTTCATTAGCAACTAATAGAAAGTGCTTGGAGACAGAAAACAGAATTATTCAGTGTTTTACACAATCAACTGAACCCCAGAAATCGAATAGAGATCTTAAACAGATCCAGATTAAGGTGAATACCAGGCTAACTGTAGTTCTGTGAGCCTTGCTCCAGCCTCCCACTCTTGGTGTGTTTTGTCTGGGTCAGACTGACCTCCTGGTGGCTGAGGTTGAAGGGCTCCGTGCCCCACTGCCGATGCAGCTCCAGGATGGCAATGAGGTCCCCGATGGCAGTGATGATGGGGAGGCACAGGACAGAGTGAACATGGATCCCTGAGTCCTGCCCTGTGCCGTCGGGGAAGCGCTCGTCCTGCAATACACAGACCAGGGAAGGTCATTATCACCTGAAGTGCAAAGAAGTTTAGCAGAGGGGGGTCAGTGTAGCTGGTACATCAGCTGACGTAGCTGAAGATTCAAAGTATATTTACAGTGGGTTTTTTTTTTAAGCTTGAAGGTGAGAAAGGATCATTAAAGGGAACATATAACATAACATCACAGCTATGCAGTGAAATGTTAGATTCCTATGATGAGTAAATCTGTGCTGGTTGTAGGAAAACAGCCTCACCCCCATGATGTCCTCTACTAGCAGTGTTGTGTGAGTCTTGGCAACATGAGCGGCAACAGTTGTCCCAAATGCGATGGGGCCAGAGGGGATGAGGCTTGGAGGGCCATCCTTGGCCCCCGTTGGATTGAACAAACATAAACTCTAATGAGAAGCATGGACGAGAACAGAGAGGGAGACAGAAATGGCGGAAAAAGAAAGAATGTAAATTACATGACCACAACTGCATTAGTGTATGAAATGTATTCACCAAATGTCCTCTGCACTTACATTGTTGCATTCTCCCAAGAAGTAAAGTGCAAATCCATCAGCTTTTGTTGCTGTTGCAAAAAGAGACACACATGTCAGGTTAGACAGTCCATTAACAACTGACATTAGCCGTTAGTGTGTTAAGTTCCCTCATATAGATGTGTCCCAACAATAAATGGAAGGTATACCTGAGAGTAAAAGCATAAGAGGGACATAACAGCCCAGGTACAATCTAATAACAATCTATTAGTGATGTCCCACATAACGACAAGGGCACTCTGACCGAGGGCTTTGACTGCCATCCAGTTCATCTCATTCCCAGTCCTCCTCTCCAGTCCCATTTCACACTGACATATAGGTCATGTTCTCAAACAACGTGACAACAGGGAGACTGGAGGAGCATCAGTGAACACGCCGATGATGAAGAAGTTAATGTGTCGGGTGGTTTGGGTGAAATGAGTCCTTTACACTCTAACGTATTTAGAAAATGCAACATATTAGAGTTTGTGACTTTGAACTTTTGATCATTTAAAAAGACATGTAAATTTCCATATTTTGATTTTGGTTTACCAAGCTGAATTAAGAATACTATTTGCTGCTCATTATATATATTTATCCTTTTTATTGGAGCAGAATAGGGGTGAGGTTCCCCATTGTGACGCGGACTGAAGCTGTGAGGATCAATGAACCGGATCATGTCTACTTCTACCTGTTTTGATGATGCTGCACAACTCATAGAGCAGGAGTTTGTTGTCTCCTCCAGTGTCCAGGCGCTGCTCCATGTAGTTGTTGAGTTCATACACCACACCCTGCACATTTGTGTCCTGGTACTGCTGGACACAAGACACACAGAAATTGCAACTCCACACAGCTTTGCAAAAACACTGAGATTAAATTTGAAAATTCAGCAAGATGTACGACACCGAAACACGTGACAACAGCCTGCAATCTGTACTGCACCCAGTCTAATGTTACGGACTCTTTTTTGAATGAAAGATCTTCTTGCCATTCACAAAGACAGAGCCATTCATCACAACATTACCCACCATCCCACCCTTACACTCCCCTTCACTGCTGCATTCTAGCCCAGGGATCCCCCTGCGGTCCCCGAGAGGAGGCCACCGGTGCCCCACAGCCCTGATGAAAGCCCTGGCAAGCTCTGCTGCTCAGCCTCAGCTTAAAAGTGTGGTTACGTAAGAGGCAGACCTCCTGCCTTTCAGGGGGCCAGAGAGCCGTCTATTTCTGCGCCTGCAGAGAGGGTGAGGGCAGGACGGCAGGGAGAGTGGCGTACTAGAAAGCCTCCCCCACGGGATGCCTTCTATCCTCCCACATCCTGTTTGCACAGACGTATGGATGACGCACTGAGGGGTCGAGTGGCCCTCGTTTTTTTTCTTCCCCCCGTGTGCAAAGTTGCTTCTACCCAGCTCCAGGGCCTGCTGTGGGCTCTGACACCAGGCCTCTTAGGGGTTGATGGTGTAAAGATGACACAGGTGTGAACATACACTTCCTGCCACTGTCTCACACATGACGCGTGTGTAATGCAGCACAGATTAATGTTGTTTCCTATTATTCTTGTGAATCATCTATTTGATGCCGACCTGAAAGCTCACAGAGCCTGGCCTTTAACTCTAATGTTAACATCACAAGCATCACTACTGTGCTCCATCCGACCGAATTTGTAAACTATGGCATTATTTTTATATGAGACAGCGTCACTGTTCTATAGAAAGTAAGCACATGGACAAACAAAACTGTTGTCAAAGAGCATAGGTAATCTGCATCTTGAATGAGTACACCAGGATATTTTTGGTGTAAGTGAAGGACAGCAGTCTGTTCAGCCATAGTTTCTATTCTTGAATACGAACTCATTAAGTCACTTTGGTTAGCTTTAGGAATGAGTGAGCAAATAAAGTAATGTAATATCTACAGTGTATGAAGCTATGAGAAGCTTCATGTGCCTTGTCACATAAATGTGTACACATGAAATGAAACTGAAACCTACCCTGCTGGCTTCTTTAGCTGATGTGTCATCTGTAAAGAGAAAAATCACAACGTTGAAATACAGCTTGAAACAACAATCTGTAAATCAAAGCATGGATTGAAAATCAATAAAATGCATCCTTGCACGTTTTTAATATACTCAGGAATTCTGCCACTAGCTTACTTGGTCTATGATCAGTAGCTTATGTTGGCCGATGTGAGCATACTTTAGATAGTAATCGCAGCCTAACTGAGTCCATTTGTAGACCTTAGGACTCTTCTACCTTTTGTTACACTATGTTTCTATGTTCATTTACAATGAATTATTACTTGTGGCCCCAGTGGCTGTTTGGCAAAACACATGCCGTAGTTTTTCTTTAACTAATATTGGTTAGTGGATGGGATTTGATTTAAGTGCCGTTTGTGTTAATAAGCTGGTGGAGAAATTAGAAAAGGAAGTGAGTTGCTGCGACTGCCTGTGAAAACGGTAGACGCCAAGTCTGTGTAACTATGCAAATGTAAAGGCAGTCATTGCTGAAAAAGGGCATGCATGCACAAGCAACACTGTCTGAATTAAAAAGCTGAACTGCAAGACAGAAATCTGACCCGGCTGTTTAAAAGTTGGCTGGGCGCTCTGCATGAAGGCACACCAGCAAGAGCAGCAAATAAGCAAAACCATCGGTTGTCCTCACAACAGTAGTCAGGTGAATGGTAAATGAGCAAATACATAGAAGGTAGCCGTATATAAAGCATAAATATACATTATGTATACATTATGGATGAATGCTTTCTGTGCCTTTGATGCAGGGAGACGTTTGCTTAAATGATGTTCCTTTTAAAACAGAATTAAGAGAGTTATCAATCTAACTTGACAAGTGTAACATTTTGTGGCCTCGAGTACAAATTCCTGGTGTGATTTCAGGCTGTTGAGAGACAGTAGACATATGACTATTGTCTTTGGACACTGAAGTATGTGATAATAATGAAAGCCTCAGCCAATCCCAACAGTTTCTGGATTTATAGTCTGGGAGTGCTACTTGGGATGAAAATAAAACCATTCACACAGCTACAAGCGGTTCTTCATTACACACGGGGTCAACAGCACACGAGAACAGTAACTGCTCTGATCTCTTTGGTAACGCTCCATGTGATCAAACCATGCAAAAAAGCCGAGCAATCTTTTAGAAACATCTACTGAAGTGCTGAGTTGAGCTGGCCCTCTGTTGAAACAAACCAGCAAAGATGTGAAGGAAGAAATTACAGCCAGCTACATTGTTTGTTGTTTTAAACATTCCTCCACTATGCTATGAGCTTCCTAACTTAGCCATGAGAGCTATTTTAGAGTGAACCCCCGGCTGGCCGTGACGTCAATCAGAGGACAGAGAGCTACACTTGAAAAGACTTCAAACCCCTTTGAAAAAGAGAAGAACAGACCGGACCTTTCTTTTTTTTAATGACTTGATGAGGCCAAGAATATTTCGACATGAACCCTTTTGAAGGACACATTTTTACAAATGCAGTAGGTCTGTTAGAGACCTGTTAGATGTAGAAGTCTACATGTTCTATTTTCCTGAAGCTATTCACTGAGAACGTTGCTGACAAATGAGAGAAAACAACCTAATCGTACTCTACCATAATTCAATACATGAAGTGAATGTAACAGGAGCCCTGTACAGTGAATATGAAAAACTGATAATTACAGTGGCCGCATTTTGCTCACTTTAACTGCTTACCTTTGAAATTAGATTTGTACACAGTATGATGTAATGTGGTATATGATGTGTACATGGCATAGTTAGTATGTATGGTGGATATATGTCGATAATGATTTGGATATAAAGATGAAAAAACCTACCAGGAAATTTACTACCAGGTGTGTTTGATAGCAACATGTACAGATGCCTCAGTAACTGAAAGCTATGAGTGGCATTCAACCATTTCTCCCCCCCGTTACCCCGAACTCTCAGCTCTCAGACCCTCCAAAACCAAATGCAAGCAGACTTAAACACAAACACCCTGGTCAACAGGTGATGCACCTGCAGAAATGGCAAATACATAATATGCTGTTATTATGAAAGAACAGAGATGCAGTCTTTGTTGGGGTGACATGACGTTGACTCTTGTATGTTGAAAAGCCTGTTGATGTAGGCTGCCATGATAAGGTTGTTGCTTCTTCTCACCAACACACCATTGCCACTTAACATTGCTGCAAGGTGTTGCAGTGCCAATGACTTCAGCAACACTGATACGGTACATCATATCAGTCAATTAGTATGCTGATGATATGATCATATAATGACATCTTAAAAATAGAATTCTGTTGTGCAAATAAAGAAATGAATGCATAAGCGAGAAACATAATCCATTGCACTAAACATTGTTTTTTTATTCGTTTAATAAGTGACTTTGCATTCAATTCCAAAAACTCATATATCAGACATATATTATTAGCAATATTTCAATCATACCACCCAGTCCTACATTCCTACATGCCTTTCCATTCCCGTAGGTATTTCAGGGTGTGTGGGTTGCCCCCATATTTGAAGGTCCCTCCCGGAGGACTGATTTGAGGTGTTGCAGGTACAGTTACAGTCTGGCAAACCACCTCTGTAAGGCATCTCATGTGTAGCAGTCCCAGTGGAACCATAGGGTGAGCACTGAGCACTGTGTACACACATTAAAAAAAGGTTGAAGGAGCCAAAACGTAACAGGAAGCGTTTGCACTTGCAGACTGTTCACCCTGTCAGGTAAGATGCAGACTCTTCCTGTGCCTGGGAATCACAGAAATACAAAAGCAAGTGCACTTTAAAACTGTTGTGCTGAACCAGTTGCCTGGATGGACCAGTTCCAGCAGCTTCTTTAAAGTAAGCATGCAGGTGGGCCGTACACACATTTAGCAGCTGCAGGTCCAGCATGGCTCTCCTGGTTTTCCTAGAAACCAGAAATAGCTTGAATACACTGCATTCGGGCTGTACTCTTGTTTCTTGCTGAAGAAAAGTGGTTGAGAAAATGCGTGTGGACTGTACCGTTCTGTACAGCCAGCACATATAACATAAAATAAACTCCAAATATAAAAAACAGACAACTTGTCTGTCCAGTTTTGCAACAATAACATCTTAGTTTCATCAGATGCGCGTCGTGGGGATTCACCCTAATGATACAGCTGCCCCTGGGGCCAAGAGGCAAAGTATCTGTACAGGTGTGTGTGTGTGTGTGTGTGTGTGTGCATGTCTGTGTGTTTTATCACCATACCAAGTGGTCAGCTATTAGCACAGGGACACAGACCAGCAGCCTGTTCCAATGCCATCCCATATTTTCAGGAACCTACTGTTGCTTTTAGTAAACACAGGAGGACAGGGCCGACAGGTTCTTAGAAAATATACTGCCAGCTCAGTAAGCAGTGAAAACTAAACACCACTGTCCTGAAAGCAGCAGAGGCTGAACAGACCTCTACTTGTAACTTTATCACTCCATTGAAACTGTTCCTGATCCGGAAAGGTCTAAATGTTTGTCAGGTGGGATGTGCAGCTTTAAGCATGTATCAGTTGTAGATATGTGCTAGTCTGCCTTGTAAACCAACGCTTAGCGGGTAAGGCTCCTTTAAGGGCAACACATACTGTACCGTACATCCTGATTCTGTTTATTGCCTACAATCATTCATACAATTTTAGAAATAACAACTTTAACATATTTTGTTAGCAGAGTGAGAGGGGCTGGTTACTGTAGTTAATCACAATTCATAATTTAATGTTTTATTGCATACTATTTGGGTTTTTGTGTTAATATCAAGTTTGTTATATGAAGTTATATTCATTTGTAGTACTTTGGTTGTTCTCAAATATTGCACATATTGATTTTATGGTGTGTGATATTATGTGTGATATTTGTGCTGCAGACAACAAAACGAACAAACACAGCAACTCCGTCAGTTGTTGCAGATTTCTGTGGGGGTTCAACCAATAAAATCATCAGAGTCTGCAACAAGGAGTCAAGCAGACATGGTTTATACATCCAGGACAAAACATCTTAGATTCTTACTGTCATAAAGAATTTTCTTTCGTAAGTATTTATACTCCGTCATCTCTTAGCAAATTGCTTTCAATCAAAGCAAAATCAGTCGGACACATTGTTTCCACTGTAAATCCTTTTGTACATCCAAATAAAATGTCCTAATCTAAACAAAGCACAGCATGCACAGACTGTAGGTCTATAATGTTTATTCAAATTAAACTTGTGTTATGGTCTGCTGATAATTTAATGAAAGATTATATGAAAACATCCACTTGATGCTCACAGTTGATTTTGGGTATTTACTGCTTAGGTGTAGAGTATTATCTGCTACAACACAGTGGTGCGTGGTATGGTTGTAAGACAAAAAAACTACTACTGTCACCTTGATAAATACTTGATCATTTAATGAATTCAATAAGTCATTTCATGAATCAATTTCCTAAATACCGTGCAAATTCTTTACGGTACCAAATAAATACTGGAATTTGTTTAAATGATTAATCTGATTAATTATAATTTGAGGCATAATCATGCAGTCTTATGAAACTGTTTTTCTGAGGATTTTTAGAAACCACAGTGAAAGAAGAGAGCTGTCTGACTTAAAAGTGCTAAATACGAGATTGGGAGCATTTCTATTGCCGCCCAACGGCAGAGCGGCGGCCATGAGCTAGCCAGTGGGGTACACTCACATGCACTAACGTGCACTAAAAGCACGGCCCGCCTGGGTCAACAAAGCACACAAAAAAAAGCACATTTAACTCTGAAAGTTTATCCCTCAGTTCACATAAGCACAAAGGTCTCTGATACACTGTTTGATGAGACATGGTGAGAAATGATTTGGAGAAGCACCCAGAACATATCAGCAGCCTGGCCTTTAAAAACAATCCCTCAGTCAGCTTGGGTCTAATGTGCACAATACTTGATGGGTGCTTTATTGATCTGCCACAGATACACAGCCGCCCACAGGGCAGTCAGCCGGCAGAGAATCAGCTGCCAACATGTGTCGACCTAGCAGCCGTCTGCATCAACCTGCCCCATGGCGGACGTGCAGCTGCCAAAAGCAGCTGTCAACCTATCGTCCTCCAATTGTTTTTTACTTTTTATGTTAATCTGTACACAGGTCTCTCTTTAAACAGATATGATAATGAGACTTTCTGTTTAAAAACAGGTAGTAAAATTGTGACAATTATCAACTTTGAGAAAGATATCTTTGGCAAAACACTTTGGTTAATGTTTCCCCCCCCCGTGATTTTAAACAGCTTCCAGTGAGGGCTGTGCAGAAGGCCCCTTCCTCCCTCCTGATGTAAAGCCCTGCAGGTGAGACAGCTCTTATCACAGTGGCGGGGGTGGGGTTCTGCTACACAAGCACATCTTTGTCTGCTTGCGACTGCCATCCAAACACATCTGAGAAACAGCATCAGCTGCTTAACAGCTCGGCGTAGCTCTTGCCCTCGAGCCTGAAAGGCCGGAGACTCTCACACACACACACACACACACACACACACACACACACA